CTCATTTGCCTTGTTAACAATCTCATATTAATGATAGTGATGGCCATTTTATAACCTGTCTGTAGAGGACCTACATTTTTTGAAAGTTGGTAATATCTACATTAACTTTAAACCTCTTTTACTAGGGAAATAATGGGGCAGCTCTAGTGACCAAAAAAGACTCCATCTGGGTCCAAAGCGGGATTGTGGGTCATGTTTATGATCTCCGTCGACCCACTAGCTACATTCGTGTGTCCCAGTACCAGAAATGGATCAGCGACAGGGTCACTGGCATGGAACCAGGATTTATTACCTTCACCTCCCCAGGCAATGACACCGACTTGAATTTCACTTGTCCCACAATACCACCTACCACTCCCTATCCTTATTCCACAAATTACCCTCATCCCACACCTTACCCTCATACCACACACCACCCTCATGCCACACATCACACTGACTACCCCACTGATGACAGCATATCTACCAGTAGCACAGCCCCCACTCCCTGTCCTCATCCCACACACTACCCTCATACGACAAACTACCCTCACCCCACACATCACACTCATTATACCACTGATGACAGCATAGCTACCAGTACTACAGCCCCCACTCCCCATCCTCATCCCACACACTACCCTCATACGACAAACTACCCTCACCCCACACATCACACTCATTATACCACTGATGACAGCATGGCTACCACTAGCACAGCCCCCACTCCCCATCCTCATCCCACACACTACCCTCATACGACAAACTACCCTCACCCCACACATCACACTCATTATACCACTGATGACAGCATAGCTACCACTAGCACAGCCCCCACTCCCCATCCTCATCCCACACACTACCCTCATACGACAAACTACCCTCACCCCACACATCACACTCATTATACCACTGATGACAGCATGGCTACCACTAGCACAGCCCCCACTCCCCATCCTCATCCCACACACTACCCTCATACGACAAACTACCCTCACCCCACACATCACACTCATTATACCACTGATGACAGCATAGCTACCACTAGCACAGCCCCCACTCCCCATCCTCATCCCACACACTACCCTCACCCAACGATTTACACTCACTATAATACTGATGACAGCATACCTAGCAGTAGTACAGCTCCCACTCCCCATCCTCAGCGCACACACTACCCTCACCCCACACATCACACTGACTATACCACTGATGACAGCGTATTTGGTGGTGGTAATGCCGTGGTTCCCATCACTCACTTCTCTCTGTTTTTGTTCTGCTTCTTCATGTATTTGTAGATAGCACAGAAATGTAGCTTAAATGGATTAGTGACAGACTCATTAGCATGGAACCAGTCTTTGTTACCTTCACCTCCCCTGGCAATTACACCGACTTGAACATCTATTCCACACTACCGCCTACCACTTACACTACCACTCTCTATCCTTATCCCACACACTACCCTTAACCCACACATTACACTAATTATGACAGGGAATCTGCCAGTGGTACAGCTCCCACTCCCCATTCTTATCCCACACACTACCCTTATACCAGACACAACCTTTAAGCATTCATTAATTTAAATTAATTCAGTTTATTTCTATAGTAGCAATTCACAACACGTCATCTCAAGGAACTTTATCTATTTAAAGTTTTCTTTCTAAGGAAAACCAGTTGATTGCGCCAACTCACTGACCTGAAGGCCATCCCTCACACTAGGCATGCTTGTAGCAACATTGGAGAGGAAAAACTCCCTTTAAACAGGAAGAAACCTCCAGCCGAACCTGGCTCAATGTGAGCAGCCATCTTCCCGGGCCGACTTTGGCATCAAGGCGACAGAAGCAGACACAAATTACACTCACTATACCACTGATGACAGCATATCTGCCATTGGTACAGCTCCCAACCCCCATTCTTATACCACAAACTACCTTTACCTCACACATTACACTCGTACCACCACTCGATGACGGTATATTTGTTGCTGAGGTTCCTGTACTGTAACTCACTTCTTCTTTCTATTCTTATTCTGCTACTTCATATCTTTTTGGTGGCATATAAATTTAACTTAGCACTTATTTAAGCAGCACTCTAGATCTTTACCTTTAAACCTTGTCTTCTTGATATGACAATATGTCAAATAGTGATACTACTGTTCTGGACTGTTCTTCTGAGGTAGTTTCTTTTTATAACTTAGACAGAAATTTAAGGGTGAAATGGTCTAAGGATTCAATTTGGAAAAAGGTGTATTCTTTCTCTTTTCTATATATTTGGTTTCATATGTAGGTTATTTTCTACCTTAACTGCAAATACAACATAAATCGTAAGGAAGCAGACAATAGGGTCATGATTTAATCCAATCAATTGTACAGTTTGATTGTAAAATATGTAACAAACAATGTAATAAGCACTGTGATTGACTTTGATTTTATTTCAAATAAATTAGATTTGTATCAATAATTTCTATATTCTATATTCTTTTTTAACAAGCTCATAATTAAGTTTGGTTGGGTGGGGTGTTGGCCATTAATAAGTTGGGTGAGAGATTTAAAGAGGTAAGTGACTTTAAGAGGACCCAGGAAGATTTCAAGTGAAAATCAACAGGAAGATTCTCATATCAAGGGTGCTTAAGAAAAACTATATATCTGTTTAAAAGCTATAGCATAAACATGTACACAAAATTATGAATTAATCCACCTAAGAAAGACAGATGAATGAGTAAGTGAAAAAGTCTTGGGCTTAGTTAAAGAAACTTTGGAGTTAACTGTAACAGACTGTACATGCAGGAGCCCCTAAAAAAACAGTTCTGAAAGAGTGGAGGAGGGAAAACTTTCCTTATACCAATATCAGAAATGACAGATGGCTGTACATTGTTAAACAGTCCACTCAATTTTGACAATCAAATGAGGCAAGACCAGTTATTATTTTGTTGTTTATTTTTTTAAACTCAGCTAAACTACAGTTTATTAATAAACAAGGTTTAAAAAAAAAACAAAGTTTGTGTTGCTCATAAATGAGAGAGCTTGATAGAGAACTGAAAATTTAATGAGCTGACACCAACTTTTTACAGGTACAAGTACAACACCTGTTTGACTACGTTTTAATTACAGGATGTAATTACCTTTAATTACTCCTTCCTATTCCTTGCTTATAGTCAAAACATTTGTATCAGCTTACTCAAAAAAGAAAGATAATTTCATGATGGGTCTCTGTGATTAAACCCACATGCAGAACACCACATGAAGCAGGGTAAAAGTTTAACAGTTTATTAAAGATGCAAACACAGAATTAAACAAGCACTGGTTCTGGTACTGGTCCGGGACTTGGTTTCACAGAGATATCTGCAGAGAGGGATTGTTTGGTTAGCCAGGTAGCAGCGATGACTTGATGGAGTTTGGATTCTGGTTCGTACCTGATGAGGTTCAGACTGATCAGTAGAGAGAGGGAACCGGTTGGGTCCAGAGACTGTGGTTCCAGCAGAGAGTTCAGCAGCGACAGAGCTTAGCTTCAGGCTAGAGAGATTCAGACCTTGAGTTGTTCTTCTAGTTCTCTCCAGAGAACTAGCTGGGAGACTCAGACTGAGGATCTTCAGGTTTGGCTTCTTTGAGCAGGCAGGCAGGTTTCCAAACATGAGCTCCTCCAGAGCTACAGACTTCACTCGGGTTTTCCTAAGAGCAGAGAAGACAGAGACTGGTTAGGGTCAGGTTGCTCTCTAGAACAGACAGATATTCTAGTTCAGGTTGAGGCTCAGGTTCCGCTAACCAAAACTGGTCAACACTCTGGCGCTGAAGACAGGTCTGGTCGCTGCTTAAGTAGGAGGTCTCCTGATGGGCTGATGATCCTCAGGTGTGCGGGAGGCTCCAGCTCAGGAGACCCATAGCGCTCTCTGCTGGAGACAGGTGGCAGATCTCCAGATCGCAACAGTTAAACTATATGACACACTCAGTAACTAATAGTAAAACAGAGGAACTTACATAGAAAATGCAGTACTATGTATTGTATGTAGTATGTATTGAATAATTATGTTAATGTAATTAATACAAAATGATTAAATCAAATTGCCCGTTTTTGTGTGTAATTATTTTTAATATATTTCTGGAAAAAATAAAACATTTTGGGGACCGTCTGTGTCATGATGGGTACACTAAGAGTGACCCAAATATGCAGAACACCACGAGACGGACACAAAAAGTTAACAAGTTTATTTGTTCATAAGCACACTGATTTGACTGGTTCTGGTTCGGGCCTGGAAACTGGTTTGCCGGAGTCTGTGTGAGAAACAGTTCAGTTAGCGTTGCACTTTGGAGCTTGCATTCTTGATTGTTACTGGTTGTACCTTGAGGGTTCTTTGAGAGGGTCACTGTTGGATCTGGAGAGGAGTTGATCAGCAGAGTCCGCTAGCTGCTTCAGTGTCTTACTTCTAGATCTGAGCAGTCCTTGGCTTTGGGTTTTCCAGCTCTTAGTCCTGAGCTGCATGAAAGTTCACTGAGGTTCTTCAGGTTTGGCTCTGAGGGTCGACTCGGCTGGTTAGCTGTTCCTGAGCTCCACAGAGGAGAAACTGGTTTCCTGGAAGACAGAGACACGGGTTAGAATCCAGGATGTATTCAAAGTCACAAAGATTCACTGAGATTCTAGGCTTAGGCGCTGACCAACTGGATCAACACTGCGGCGTTGAGGCAAGGTCTGAAGACAGCTTAAGTAGTGGATGCTCTGATGATCTGATGGGTTGCAGCTGTGCAGAAGGCTCACTCAGGAGGATCCACGGCGGACTCTGCTGGAGAAAGGTGGAACTTCTCCAGCTCCCAACAGTACCCCCCCCCTCAACGACCGCCCCTTGGCGGTCCGGAAGAGGTCGAAGGGCAGGAACGCTCGTACTCCTCGATTAGGGCAGGGTCGAGGATGTACGAGCCCGGAACCCACTGGCGATCCTCCGGTCCGAAGCCCTCTCAGTCGACGAGGTACTGCCAGCCGCGACCTCGTCGACGGGAGTCCACGATGCGTCGAACGGTGAAAGCAGGATGACCGTCGACCTCCAGGGCGGGTGGTGGGGAGTCGGAAGGTGGGCACAGAGAACTCGAGATGACAGGTTTTATCTGGGAGACATGGAAGGTAGGGTGGATCCGAAGAGACTGGGGCAGTTGGAGACCGACGGCAGATGGATTGATGACTCGGGAAATCTTGTACGGACCTATGAATCTGGGCGAAAGTGTTCGAGATTCCCTTGAGGGGAATGTCTCGAGTGGACAGCCATACCTCTTGGCCTTCAGAGTACTCGGGGGCGGGACGTCTCCTGGAGTCAGCGAAGCGTTTGTTGGTCTCAGAAGAACGGTTGAGGGTTGCGATGGTATCTCTCCAAATCTTCTGACAGCGTCTGATGTGGTGATTGACTGACTGGACCGAAATCTCTCTCTCGTCTGCGGGAAAAAGTGGAGGTTGATAACCGAGACTGACCTGAAAGGGAGATTGTCCAGTGGAAGCAGATTTGAGGGAGTTGTGTGCATATTCGATCCATGTAAGGTATTGGCTCCAGTCGACGGGATTGTTGGAGGTGAGGCAACGAAGGGTGGATTCTAGCTGCTGGTTCATCCTCTCTGTTTGTCCGTTGGATTGAGGATGATAACCCTGATGTCAGAGAGGGTTTACAGCCGAGTGCAGAACAGAATGCCTTCCAAACCTGGGATATGAACTGGGGACCCCGATCCGAGAGGATCTCCTGGGGGATGCCATGTAAGCGGAAGACGTGTTTAACTAGGAGCTGGGCTGTCTGGAAGGCCGTGGGAAGTTTCCTAAGTGGGATGAGATGGCAGGACTTCGAAAAACGGTCAACAATGGTGAGGATTGTGGACATACCTCGAGAAACAGGGAGGCCGGTGACGAAGTCAATCGCTATATGGGACCATGGACGCGAGGAAACCGGAAGTAGCTGTAGCAGGCCAGAAGGAGGTTGATGTGAGGCTTTATTTCGGGCACATGTGGAGCAAGCCAACACATACTCCTTGACCTCTCTATGGAGGGTCGGCCACCAGAAGCGTCTTGAGATCAAGGAGACGGTTCTACTGACCCCCGGATGGGTGGAAAACTTGGCTGCATGCATCCATTGGATGAGACGGGACCTGACAGAAGATGGCACATAGGTTTGGTTAGCTGGACCGTTACCTGGATCGGGTTCTGTAGCCAGGGCGGAGTTGATTAGATCAGTGATCTCCCAGTTAACCACTCCTACAGTGCAGGAAGCAGGAAGGACTGGTTCAGGTGTCTCAGGATGATCGACGGAGTAAAGACGAGAGAGAGAATCGGGTTTGACATTCTTGGATCCGGGTCTGTAGGAGATAATGAGATTAAACCGTGAGAAGAAGATGGACCACCTGGATTGACGTGGATTGGCTTGCTTGGTTGACTGGATGTAAGCCAGGTTCTTGTGATCAGTCCATACAAGAACCGGGTGCTCAGCTCCCTCCAGCCAGTGTCTCCATTCCTCCAGCGCCAATTTGTTGGCCAACAGCTCACGGTCTCCCACATCGTAGTTCTGCTCTGCGGATGAAAGTCTACGAGAGAAAAAGGCGCATGGATGGATCTTTTGATCCGTGTCAAGTCTCTGGGATAGGACCGCTCCAACACCAGAATCTGAAGCGTCCACTTCGAGGATAAACTGTTTAGCTGGGTCAGGCTGTATTAACACTGGTGCTCTGGAAAATAAAGATTTCAATTTCTCAAATGCAGATTGTGCCTCGGGAGTCCATTGAAAAGTGCGTTTGACAGAGGTCAAAGCGGTTAAGGGAAGGGCTGTCTGGCTATAGTTCCTGATGAACCGACGATAAAAGTTTGCAAAGCCCAGAAATCTCTGTAGCTGTTTGCGGTTCTCTGGAACTGGCCATTCTAACACGGCTTTTATTTTGTCCTCAGATGGTTTAACCTGGCCGCCCTCGAGCACAAACCCCAAAAAGGTGACTGAAGACTGATGAAATTCGCACTTCTCTGCTTTAACGAACAGCTGTTCTCCAGAAGTCTCTGCAACACAAGGCGGACATGTCTTTTATGTTCAGAAAAGTTCCTTGAGTAAATGAGTATGTCGTCAATATAGACGAACACAAACACATTTAAAAAGTCTCTGAGGACATCGTTCACGAGGGCTTGGAAACAGGCTGGAGCGTTGGTTAAACCAAAAGGCATCACCAAATATTCAAATTGACCCAAGGGGGTTTTGAAGGCCGTTTTCCATTCATCTCCATCTCGGATCCTAAGAAGATGATACGCATTCCTTAAGTCCAGTTTTGTGAAAACTGTAGCCCCTTGTACAGGTTCAAATGCTGAGGCGAGAAGAGGAAGTGGGTACTTATTCTTTATTGTAATTTGGTTCAAACCTCTGTAATCAATACATGGTCTCAGGGAACTGTCCTTCTTACCAACAAAGAAGAACCCGGCGCCCAATGGAGAGGAAGATGGGCGGATTATTCCAGCAGCTAAGGATTCATTTATGTACTTCTCCATGGTCTCTCGTTCAGGTTTGGAAATGTTGTACAATCTGCTGCTAGGTAGTGGTGCTCCAGGTAATAGCTCAATGGCGCAGTCATATGGTCTGTGTGGAGGTAGGGACGTAGCACTGACCTTACTGAAGACAGGAGCCAGGTCGTGGTACTCGGAAGGAACAGAAGAAAGGTCAGGAGTCCATCCCCCCCCCCACCTCTAGGAGGCCCCACCAAGGGGGCAGCCGAACGGAGGCATGTTTCATGGCATGCAGTTGACCATGATTCCAGGTGACGATCAGTCCAATTTATGTGTGGATTATGCTTCTCCAACCATTCGAAACCAAGCACGAGGGGAGAGCATGCAGAAGGAAAAACAAAAAATGTTATTGTCTCTCGGTGGTTACCTGAAAGAAGTAGCTCGAGGGGTTGAGTTTGATGGGTAACTTGGTGGAGTCTTTTCCCATCAATGGCAGAAACACTTAGAGATTGAATCAGAGGAATGGTTTCTATCTGAAGTTGTTGGACGAGATTCGAATCGATTAAATTCCGTTCACAGCCAGAATCGATGAATGCAGAAAAAGAGAGGCTTTGGTTAGCACAAAACAACGTGGCTGAAGCAACAGTCGAGGAGATTTCTTAGTGTTAATTTGGCCCGCCAGACTCCTCAGATCCTCTGGCGGGCCCAGGCTTTTGATTTAGCCGGGCAGGAAGCGATGAAGTGACCACTCTCACCACAGTAAATGCATAATTTACTCAGAAAACGTCTTTGTCTTTCCTCAGGGGTGAGCCTGGTGTGTCCCACCTGCATGGGTTCGACATCTCTTTCACCAGAATGAGAGACCTGAATAGGCAGAGGGAGAGACTGGGCCTTAGGTCTCTGTATGGGCAGCTGCTCTGTGGGGGAAGAACAGTCACGTTATGTGAGGCAGAACAAAGTTCTGCCTCACATAACGTGCAGAAGGCTCACTCAGGAGGATCCACGGCAGACTCTGCTGGAGAAAGGTGGAACTTCTCCAGCTCCCAACAGTCTGCTCCTTGTGGGGCTCGATCCCTGGACCTAAGAGGGGAATTGCTGTTTTTGGGTGAGGGGTCATGTTTAGGACAAAGGTGGGAATTGAGTTTAGGTCAGGATTAGGTATGAACCCGTATTGATTAGGTTTAGGGTAAGAGTCACAGTTAGGCTGTTGAAATGGATGGAAGTCAATGTAGTATATTAGTAGTATAGGAATATACTACATTTTGGAGATGTATATGTACTTGTGGGGACCAATGACTCATCTCTTTGAGAAAAGTTTCCATTCTTGGATTAACCTAAACTTGTGAGTGGAGTTTAGGTTAAGTTTATGGTTAGGCATGTGTGGAAAAGGGTTAGGCCTACAGTAAGGGTTAGGGCCATAGAAAAGAGTGGGAAAGAGTCCCTATCAAGAGCAGTGTACATTGATATGCACTAATTGTTGCCACTGTGTGCTTCATGAAAAACACATCAGATTCATTTAATGTTCTAACAGTTTTTTGAAATCGTTATGAGTTTTCAATACAGTTAATAGGTTTCCTAAACTCTTAACACACCAAATTATTAATTTTATTTTCAAATTCACACATTGTAAACCAAACTCCAAAAATAACTTTTAAAATACAATACTACAATAACACAACGCACTACATCTAACAAAACAATGCAAACATGTTTCAAAATCAAATAATTATTCAAAAAACTAACACATGTTCTCTACCAACAGGAACATTTAGTCAATCATAACAGAATTGTGAGGAATCCAGTTTGTGTGGTCTGTTTGTGTGTTTCCTTTTCTCCAACTCCAGGACACCTGCGGCTGATTGGACCATTATCTGGAAGAGTATTTGAGCAGTAGGCTGTCACTACCTTGACCCCAGAGTGTTTGCCAGTTTTGGGTACTGTAGTCAAGCTGAGATTAGCAGAGTCTAATCTAAGCTTTGTTTCTCTAAGACTTATGTTCTTTTGTCTTTGCTCTTTGGAAGGAAGACATCCTGTTTTACTAGATACCTGGTCCTTCTCCCACTGGAAGGAAAAGCTGAGTTCACACTTAGCAGGGGAAAACCTCCAGATGATCCGTTCAAGTTCCCATAGGAAATCCGAGTGACAGTCCACTCCATTACTCCTCTGGGTCCAACGTTTGTCTACCCGTCCACTCTCCAACGTGTTCACAATTCTCTGGATTAACCCACACAGACTGGATTTGAGGACTGACAAGACCCCCTCAAACGTGAGTCCCTCACCAGCATAATCCAAACTGTATCCAAGATCCCCATGGTACCTGAACTGATCTCTGTGAACTTCCCTTCTAATTTCCAGTTCCGGTTCACCAGCTCACTGAGTGGTTTCTCTGCATGTGGGTCAGATTCGTAAAACCGATCATGACAACTATGACATAAAAAACACTATCATCAGCTGAAATTACAGAAACTGCATTATTTTAGATGTGTTAGAATGTATATTTTATGAAACAAAAGACAGAGCCAGAATTACTGCAGTATAAATACTTAATTTGCAAAAGGAAATTACTGCAAGATATACAATTAGAAATACTCCGGAATACCAGAAAAATAAAAAAATAAGAAAAATTAACTTTCAATTTACTCGGTCTTCTGCATTTGGCCACATGT